TTTTTGTTTGTTTGTTTTTTGGTTTTTTGGGTTTTTTTGTATAGGCCTTGTAACTTGTACATACTACTCAGCTCCTTAAGAATACAAAAAGGTGTGGAATGTGGGAGCAAAACCTACATACCTACATTTCTGTTTTCAACACTCATCAACTGCTAGATGAAAATGAGTTTCTTTCTTGGTGCTAGCAGGAAAAATAGAAGTTGAGGTGATATTATGGTGGGGACAGGATTTAAGCCAGGTGGTGAGTGTATGCAAGTGAGATGGGACTTGTAGGAAGAAGCAATTTCTTCCATCAGATAAAACTTGGGAAGAAAAGGACCTCTCTTCAGATCAAGTGCCCTGACCCTTTTGTAGGTTAAACTTGAGATCTGACCCTTTGGATACTACCAAAAGCAAAGATCTTGCTGCTCTGTGAGTGCAGACAGGCTTTTTGTTATCTCAGGGATGGTAGGAATGGAACAGCCCACAAGATTTTCTGACTTCCTGAGCCTGTTCCCACACATCTCCAAGCTGTGCTCTTCTTTGCTCACAACACAGGAGCATTTCTGGGTTATCATTTGGGCACAGGATCACATGGCTGGGAACCTGAGACTTGAGCATTATCTCAACCTGTGCCTCTAACATCTGTGCGAGACCTCCAGAAGGGGAAGTGAGGCCAGGGGGAATGTATGGTGCACATCTACAACTACCAGTGACTGCAGCCATCATACTTTACAGGCAGGCGTTGCAGAGCAATCTCTTCCCCTAAAACATGCTTTCCCAATGGTCAAGAAGGAAATAATGTTTATCTTTTTATTAAATAAGTCCACCGAAGTTCTGGTACCATGAATACTTTTTGGATAGCAGGATTTATAATATCACTCAGACAATTACATCAAACTCAACACAGTGCCCTGATATTGAACCTAAGAAACAAACCTGTCCCAAAGAAAGTCATCTCCAAAGTTGGAGTCATTTCAGCCCTGAAATGCAGGATTTGAAACCTGTGCATTGAACTGCCAAACCAGTGTGTGCTACCCTGGGACATGGCAAGTGTATATTGTAGGAAATGGAATTAACAGTCTCTCTGACAGGTTTTCTTCATGAAGCTTTTGAGCTGGTCAAGACTACACTTAATTGAATCGCTGCACAAAGTGTCAGCCATAAAAATGGAGTGGAGGGGAGGGTTTTATCTCTCCAACAAATAAGAATGGATGATGAAGCCACCAGAATCAATAGCAATATTCAAGTTATAGGTAAAATTAACCCCTTGTGGTAAGTGAGAAAAGGGTTTAATAAATGAGATAGTCTCTGGTAGTAACCTGTCTGCCATTGAGTTCCATGTTTCAAATGACAAGATTTGGCAATGAAGCCTTATATAAAAAGATTTTGGTTGAGATTTTTTAAAGTAGGGAAAGGGCACAAGATTTTTCCTTGGTTTCAGTAGAATAAGACCTGCCTAGAGAAGGATCAAAGCTGAATTTAAACAAGAAAAAAAACCTCAGTACACTCAGGCAGGACACAACACATACATTTGGGTGGCAAAGCCAGACATTTCAAAGAGTGAGATAGCGAAACAGGTGCTTGCAACCATCAGATTGGATTATACAGCTTGAACTTTGGGACATGTGACCAGATACCAGTCATGATGAGACTGGGAGAAAGTAGCAGCAAGGGTCCTATGTCTGCATTTGGGCAGGGCAGCCAGCTGAGAGCAGCTGGAGCAAGGGAGCTGTGGTAGAGGGAATGCAACCCGAGTCTCCCTAGGAAGAGGCAGGTAACCTGTTGAAGCTTCCCCCATGTTACTTGAGAAGCGTTTGCAATCCTTATCCATAAGGCCATCTCTTGTCTGTCTGACAGAAGGACCAACAGGGAAAAATAATTAGGAAAAAACAGCTTTTATTTTATACTTTTATTTATATGCAAAACAGCTCACCATTCATGAGAGATATGAAAAACGCATCAGATAGAAACCAGATTTATCTATTTTCACTACAAAATATTGCATTATATAAAGCAACATAGACACACAAAAAAACCCTGAAAAAGACTAAAATCTTTGGATAGCAGATGTGGTTTTTTTTCTTTTTCTCTTTTGTCCCTAAAATGCGCTTCTTGTTTTAAGAGATTCACAGCAAAGAACATGAAACATTTTCAGGTTATAGAATTTTTTTGGTTGTCACAAAGGAAAGCAGTCCTGGATTTATTTTTCTTTCTTTTTTTTTCTTTTTTTTAAGGAAAAAATGTCCTTTCCTAAAAATATACCACACACATACACACCCACGCTCACTCCCACACACATGCATGTATAGCACACTCACATATACACCCACAAAGAAACTACATCCCTTATAAACGATCTGCAAAGTACTTTTCAGACGCAACTATAGATCAGAATAACAACAAGTTTTTAAAAAAAACCTCTCCTAGTTAAGTGCTAGTGGTTGTTGATCCCATACAAAGAAAAAAAGAAAAAAGCTCAAGAATAAATGCATTGATATATATAAAATATAAACAGGGAGGGAGGGGAGGTTTGTGGTACACAAGTGCAATATAATTGGAGGGAAAAAATAAATTAAAAAGAAAAGAAAATGAACACTGTATTGGTCCCAACAAACACTCCTAAAGTCAAACATAATATTCCACAGGAGAAAGTGTAAACACCCGACTATAGAAACCAATTGGCACGAAGTATCCAAAGTAAAATTGCCACCACTCTGAAAAATAAATAAATCTTGAAAAAAATAAATTGTCAACTCCTTCTACCATAAATAAAAAATAGTTATTTTTAACTGCACCCATGGGTAACACGTTTAAGGTCACAAGTAGATGTTTTTGGATATATATAAAGGGGCACTTGACAGCCTGAAGAGACAATCCGGTTTTACACTTCTCTTCGAAAAGCGGACTCTCGACCGGGCGGGAGCCCTCCGAGGGGGGAGCACAAGCAGCGAGGACCTCCCGCCCCGGCGAAGGCGCTGCCCGCCGTGGCCGGACCGGAGCGGCGGGACTGGGGGTCCTGGGGCTCCGGGCGTCAATCGGGCGCTACACGTCCAGCACGTGGTTGAGATAGGAGATGTAGCAGATGGCGAGGCGCAGGATCTCGATCTTGGAGAGCTTCTTGTCGGGAGGCAGGGTGGGCAGCAGCTTGCGCAGCTCGGCGAAAGCCAGGTTGAAGGCCTCCACGCGGATCCGCTCACGCGTGGCGTGGGCCGAGCGGTACTTGGCCGTGGCGCGACGCCGCCGGCGCTTCTCCTCCCGGCTTAGCGGCGGCGGGTGCAGCCCAGGCCGGCCCCCGCCGCGGCCCTCCCCGCCGCCGCCGCCGCCGCCGCCGCCCCGGCCCTCGCTGCCGCCGCCCTCGGCGGGCTCCGGGTCGGAGACGCAGCAGCTGAGCGCCTGGGCATCCGCGCCGCCCAGGGACTCCGGGTCGGAGGGCGCCGAGGACGGGTGGTCGGAGTCGGCAGCTTGGTCCGGGCTAAGCATCATCTTGGAGGGGGCGGAGGAGCCTTCCCGAGAGAAGCAGAGACAGCGGGTCAGGGCCCCGGCCCCGGGATGCAGGGGCAAGGCGGGGAGCAGGGACACGGCAAGAGACACGAGAGACATGCTGGTCCCCGCTCCCTGCCCTCGGCGCCGGTACCGCCCGACCGAAGCGGGGGGAAGAGCCGGGTGGACGAGTCGCGGCTCATTCAGAGAGTACTAATGAGAGCAATATCGGGGCTAAACGATACCCCGTCATTTAACCATCTCTTCTCTAGCGTTTGACGGTAGCTTCAGTGCCATACTTCCTGCCATTATTCCCTGCGCTTCCTTGGGTGTTTAAACAGGCCCAGAGAGCAATAGAATATTTTTTTTTCCAAGCAAGTTAATATCCAGTGTTTCAATATTATGGTGATTCCTCCTCCCCACTCACCAGGCCCCCAATTTTAATATTGTCCTTTCTGGCCTGCCAGTTTCTGCTTAACCATTTCTCTTTCTGCAACACTCTATGGGATCCAGGCTACAGACATGATACTTTCAAATACACAGCTTAAGGCTCCACAAATATAACAAGGCCAGTGAGGAGATTTATTTCCCAAATCCCTACGGGATCTGATGTATCTGCTAGGCTCTCCACTCCTCTCTTTTCTCTGTGCTCCTTTTTTTTTTTCCTTTCCTTTCCTTTCCTTTCCTTTCCTTTCCTTTCCTTTCCTTTCCTTTCCTTTCCTTTCCTTTCCTTTCCTTTCCTTTCCTTTC